TTAGCTGGTTCCCCTGCAGAACAGTGCTATCACACGCGTGTGTGCGTGTGTGTGTGTCAGTGTCTTCTCTCTCAGTATCTCTCTCTGAATGTATCTCTCTGTGAACATCTCTGTCAGCATCTCTGTCTGTGTCCGTATATATGTCTTTCTCAGTGTCTTTATCTCTATCTTTCCTAGTTTTTCTCTACACGTGTGGCGCTCTCAGCAGTTTTCTGTGTGTGTCTGTGTGTGGCTCTCCCTCAGTGTCTCTATGTGCATGTCTCTCAGAGTACCTTTGTCTGTGTCTCTATGTGCCTCTCTCAGTAGCTGTGCTTGTGTCTGTCTCTGAGTCTATGTGTGTGCATGAGTCTGTGTCTCTGCGTCTATGGGTGTCTATGTCTGTGTCTCAGTGTCTCCCCATGTCTCTCTCTCTGTGTCTCTGTCTGCATGTGTGTCTCTCAGTGTCATGTGTGTATCTCCCCCCGATGCTCCCTCTCTCTACATCTCTCTCATTTAGTGGGGCCTGTCTTCTTGTGAGGCCAGCACCTAAGGAGCCTTAGAGGTCCTCCTACCCAGAGCTTCTAGAGCTGTGTTCCAGGACATTGTTAAGTGTGTCATGATGAGTATCCTCGGCTCAGAGACCTCACTGAGGAGACTCTGAGCCAAGAGGAGCTGAGTGGGGCCACCCAGAGCTGCACACATGGCCCTACTGTCCCATGACTATCCAGGTGGGCACCACTCTTACCTTCTCTGCACCTTTATGTCCTTAATCTTATAAAACAAAAATGACAATGATCATGTCAAGCACCTTCCTTGAGAGATGTGAGCGTTAAATAAGATACATGAGAACTCACTTAGCACATAGCACTCAATATTACCTCAAATCTGAGGCAAGGGGAGGGCTCTAAGGTCCCAGGGAAATGACAATAGCCATCAGCTGCCTGGCTTTGTGGTCTGGCCCAAAGATGAACAGTGAAAACTTGGGGCAAGTGAGACCAGAGTCTGGCCCCACCATGAGGCTGAGGGAAGACTCTTCAGGTAGCTCCTTCACCATCCCCTTTTGCAGGTGAGGAAACTGAGATGAGAGAAAGAATCTGCTCTGGAATCCAGGCTCTTAACTCCAAGTACAGTAATCCTGCTGTTTCAGCAAGCCAACTTGGAACTGGCAAACATCACTGGGCTGACAGAGAGCGTTAACCGAAGAAGAGATGGGGCGGGGAGGCATTCAGAAACCCTCAAAGGGCCCCCAAAAGGGTATCTGCCCTCATGGCAGGCTTAAGGCTGGCCAGGCCTGTGAGTCCCCTGGCTTTGGGTTTTTCCAAGTTCTGCCTCTCCCCCTGCAAAGCCATCACAGGCAGGGCTCTCCCAAGCCTCTGTTTACGAAATTATAAGCTTCCTTTGTCCCCAGTCTCCTCTGGTTACAATAATACTCATCAACTCTCGGGAGCTTTTGGGGGCATGGAAAATGTGACTTCACTCCTTAAAGATTTTCTGCTTTAACAAAATGGCATTGGGAATGAAAATCAGAAAGAAGGTCTGTCCATCCTTGGTTAAAAAAAAATATATATATATATATATATATATATATATATATAAACTTC